AGCGCCAGACAGAGAGAGCTAGTTACAGTTACTGGAGAGAAGCGCCAGACAGAGAGAGCTAGTTACAGTTACTGGAGAGAAGCGCCAGACAGAGAGAGCTAGTTACAGTTACTGGAGAGAAGCGCCAGTTTAAATAACATTACTTATAAATCACTAATATCCCACTATCCGCCAAAACTACAAATTCTCAATTACCATTGTTGGATTATAATCTTTTTTTAAGTTAACTGTAAAATGTTTTGTTAGCTAAACAATGTGTGTTTCATACAACAAAAGCACAACAGTGGTGATTGTAGGACATATTAGTAGCTTACATACAATAATTAACAAGTACTTATTTTACAGAATACCTAAACTTCTTGTATAAAGTGTCACAAAAATGACAGAACTAAACACCGATAAACAAGATGAATAGGGTATGTCTACTTCGTTTATAGATTCGATATTAGCATTTTATTGGCTATATTTGTGCTAACATCCTAGAGCACAAGAAATCATACAATTTACAAAAATCTGTCGTTTGTAGATTTTCGGTTTTAATGTCATAGAAATTTCTGAAAATTACGGATTTAGATCATTTGCCTATAACGTCCCCGAACAATAATCTGAATATACACTAGTACAAACACTGGTCAGTTGTTGGGTATTAGCACTGGTCAGTTGGTGGGTACAAACACGGGTTAGTTGGTGGGTATTAGCACGGGTCAATTGGTGGGTATAAAAACGGGTTAGTTGGTAATTTTAAACACTGGTCAGTTGGTGGGTACGTTTGTACCCACCAACTGACCCGTGTTTAAAATTACCAACTAACCCGTGTTTACGAGTCAGTTGGTAGTTTTAAACACGGGTCAATTGGTGGGTATAAACACAGGTTAGTTTGGGGATATAAACACGAGACAGTTGATGGATATAAACACGGGTTAGTTTGGGGATATAAACACGAGACAGTTGATGGGCATAAACACAGGTCAATTGGTGGGTATAAACACGAGACAGTTGATGGGTATAAACACGGGTTAGTTTGTGGATATAAGCACGGGTAGTTAGTATGTTTAAACATGGTAGGATAAACATGGAACTGTTGGTGGGTATTAACACAGGTAGCTAGTACGTATAAACATGGAACAGTTGGTGGGTATTAACACAGGTAGTTAGTACGTATAAACATGGTGGGATAAACATGGAACAGTTGGTGGGTATTAACACAGGTAGTTAGTACGTATAAACATGGTGGGATAAACATGGAACAGTTGGTGGGTATTAACACAGGTAGTTAGTACGTATAAACATGGTGGGATAAACATGGAACAGTCGGTGGGCAAGAGAAGAAAATAAACTCTTGTTTTTAATGAACATTTACGGAAGAGAATAAGTAGATTAGAATACTGCCTTTACCAGCATGCAACTATTAGTCACCTCAAAGGAAAATAGAATAATTTAAATTAATTTGAATTAATTTTTGCAATAGCGTGTTCTTTTAGGTTTATTATTGCTTTCTTTTTTGTTTAAAAAGTTGCTTTTCTATAATTTTTAACATCCAGCTCACTAAGCTTCAATGGAGTTTTTTATTAATAAACTAATTTTTGCTAAAGCGAAATACAAAAACTAGTTGCTCGAGACCACTCATTGAAATAGGAAAATGTTTAGCGCCATCCTTTGAGCAAAAGAAGTACAAATATGGTTATTTCTATAAAATATTCTCTGTTGTCTCTGGCAAAATCGACTGTGCTCGACTAACTGTCTACGGTTAAGTTTCATCCAGAGAGAAAGTTGATTTCTACAATCATGGTTATGTTTCTCTTCGAGTGAAAATGCCTTTTTTTTTTTAATTATTATAGTAACAACAACAATAACAAAAAAAAAAAAGGTTAAGAGTAACAAACGTAATATCACATTCAGTTTGCTAAAGAGTAGCCCAAGAGTTGGTGGTGACGTTCTACTGTTCTGCTTTTTTTATGATTTTATTAATCCTAAGAGTTATTACGCATTAGATGCACAATTTATTTCGCGGGGTATTTCATACCTAATTTTTGAACTTATATAGATGTTTTACTTTTTATCTACCATACTTTCAGGTTTATTTCTTGAATTTATTTTTCGTTTTTTCTTTCGTGTTATTTGTAACTACTACACATCTGTGTGAACTTAGATTATATATATATATATATATAATTTCCTTGTTATTATTTATGTGAACGTTTTTTATTTAGTGTGCTGAATGAGCTGCTCCATATAATTGGATGCATGATTATGATGACAATTGCTTTTGTATGTGTAAAAGAGTTTGAGATACTAGTTTTGTTTTGTTTCTTGTTTGATTTGCTGTTTACTCTATTATATTTGATTTTCTTCGATTGTTACCTGCATGATTAGCAGATTATTTGAGAAACTAAGCCCCATTAGAGCTCATCAGCGACTATCGTGCAATGTAGAGGCCCATCTAGCTGCCAAGCCTGATTGTTTCACAAATGCATCACTGCCTTGCAAGTCAGCCTCTGTATGGTCAGGGGCTCTGATGGACTCTTCTAGGTTCCTAATTAGTTAACAAGCGTTGAAGAAGCTATGGACGAAACTGGCACAGATGTGACAGGTGCAATCACAGATGAAGATGAAGTTAGTGCGGCAGGTGCAACCACAAATGAAGATGAAGTTAGTGTGGCAGGTGCAACCAAAGATAAAGATAAAGTTAGTGATCATCTAGAGTCTTTGGATTTGACTTTCTTTAGCCGGATGAGACGATTAAGATGTAGTAATCTGCAGTATTCAGGTGAACACTTATAACACTGTAACTAGGATCGCCACCAACACGTAGGCTGAAATGCAGAAGCCGAGTATTCCTCAATATGCAAACTAAGCACCCAGTTTTCAGGTATCATGAGAAGCAGCT